TTAAATTATGAAAAAGTGAGAAGGCAAAATAGACACTATGGATAACCAGAAGAGGCCGGACATTCTAGTGTTAAGGAAGCGGCATATATCGCTTCGCGGCTTTTACTCCTCGTTCTTTCTGTCGGTACGAAGTACACGTTGCGGTTATATATTGCCGCTGTTAAAGTCTGGGTTGATGATTTTCTTTGGTCGGTCGCAGCAACGCTAGTAAAGCTTGCCGCATTCTTCCTGCTTGTGTCTTGTCGATCATCTAAGAATTAACTGGCAATGCGCGACGGTATGAGTTCTTGCGGATCTCGCGACGCGACGTGTTCAGAGAATTTTCGCGACTCGTGAATTTCTTCGTCTGCATCGAAAAATGTACAGAATTTATTTTATTCTTATAATTATTACTTATTAGTAGAATTTATATCGTACTAATACGGTTCTCACTTCCTAAAAATAGCATTGTTTCCCTGAAAAAATCTAAGAAACAACCGGATGTTTCCTTTTCTGTTGTGCGCTGCGTGCCGAGACCGAAAGAAGCTAAATCGAATGCATTCCGCGCTGCTGCACATCGCTGCGTAATTCATTCCCGGCAGTATCCTCTCTCGCGCGGCAACCCTCGCGCGTGGGTAGCGGTGTTTATGTCCCGCGATGGGCGGATTATGTCTCATGACATGCCGACAAACCTGCGCGCGAAAACGAGTGGGTCGCACCGACGGGACCGAGTCGCCGTCAATGAGATATCCACGTGCTAATGAAACACGACAACCCGCGCAAAGTCATGTCCGATCGCATGGCGTGTGCGTCCGCCACGGGCACAGCCGCGTCCGGCTATGCAGGTTGCAAAACGATGACAGCAAAACGGACGTTCCGAGTGAGAGTAACGACCGGTTCTTCGCACTTGACCAAATGCCGAAATAGATAGGAAAATACAGATAAGATTATCGCAATGTTGTTGATAATACGCACGATAACTATCTCGACGCTAACTCGTCGATTTACTATTATGTACTCTACGGAATGTTACGACTCTGAAAGAGTGTTTTCACCATCTGAATGGAAAATTGATAGAAAGCTTCAGCTAAAGCGAGAAAATAAATATTTGAATATTTAAATCAATGATTTGAAATACAAAAATAAGAAATTAATTTCCAATGTATCGTGATTTATTATCTATATTTTTCATTTCTATTTCTCTCGATCGAAAAAATGTTTTTCTTTAAATTTGTTGTTACAGAATTCAAATGTTTATCACGAAAATAATGCTAGACTACGATTTCACGTTGAAACTCAATGTCATCATTTATGAATTTTTGTGCTATAAAAATATAGACATATTTTATAAACTGACATTGAGTTTCAACGTGAAATCGTAGTCACGCTTCATCGCACGTTTCATCGTGAAAACGCCATCTTTTAAGACAATATATACTCTGAAAGCTGCATATGTTATTTACAAAACGAGACTAACTTCATTGAAATCGATCAACAAATTGTCAAGCTATAACGCTTAAAGTGATAGTACCATTAGCCATCTCGTCGCAAAAACGCGGTGGAACAAAGAGCTAATATTAAATTTTGTTTCAAGCTCGGTAAAACTTTTACGGAAACATTTGAATTGCTGAAAAAAGTTCATGGTGATGATTGCTTATCCCGTACACGTGTGTTCGAGTGGTATAAGCGATTCCAGAACGGTCGTGAAGCTTTGGAAGACGATCCTAGGGTAGGCCGGCCAAAAGATAAAAATCGCAAAGAGTTGGTAGAAAAAGTGCGTGAAATGATCGCCAATGAACCGAATTCGACTGTGAGATGGATGGCGGAAAAATTAAATACGACCAAAGACATGATTCACGAAATTGTGACAAAGGATTTAAACAAACGGAAAGTCTGTGCTCGTTTTGTTCCTCACGCCTTAAATGAGGACCAAGAAATTGCTCGCATTGAACACTGCAAGGACCTCATCAAAACAGCCAGACGAAACTCCACATTTCTGGAATCGATTGTAACTGGTGATGAGACATGGTGCTTTAAGTATGATCCTCAAACAAAGCGCCAAAGTGCAACGTGGAAGTCCCCAGGCTCTCCAAAATCGAAAAAATTTCCGTTTCCAGAAGTCACGAGAGAAGACAATGTTAATTTGTTTTTACGATTCCAAAGGTATTATTCTTCGGGAATTCGTTCCAAGCGGTCAAAATGTCACAGGTGAATATTACTTGGGTGTTTTGGAGCGTTTATGGAAGAGAATCATTCGAGTGAAGCCTGAATATCGAGCGCCGGAAAGTTGGTTTTTCTTGCACGATAATGCACCACCTCACAGGACCGTCGCAGTTCGTGAATTTTTGGCGAAAAAACAAGTCTGTGTGCTTCAACATCCTCCGTATTCACCTGATTTATCTCCGTGTGACTATTTTTTGTTTCCAAAACTCAAACTGGCTATGAAAGGAACGTTTTATGACAGCGTTACACAAGTTCAAGAGGCTGTGACGAGGATCATTGAGGCAATTCCGAAAGACGACATAAAAAAGTCTATGCTAGCATTGGTTGAACGTGCACAGCGGTGTATTAATGCGGAAGAGATGTATTTTGAACAAACAGAAATAATTTTGGCAAAATAACTGATTGTTTTTTTGTTTTTTTTAGAGTTCCGTTATTTTTCCGACATACTGTGTATGTAATTAAGTTATAAATATGTCTGTTTATAAAATTCAGTTTAATCATTTAGATTTAAAAAAATCTATTGTTCTGTTCTTCACTAAACATTGTTCGTAAATGAGGATATTTGAACAATTATAACTGCCTTTTCTTACTCGAAGATTTCACTGTTTGCCGTCAAAGGCTGTAGAAAAATCGCCGGTTCGTTGCCGCATCTCATTAGCACGAATATTCATTGACGAGTTCGTTACTCCGTTCATTCACTGTCGAGGCAGGTCGCTTGCCTCTCGCTCCGCAAACAGGCGGCCGGCAACCGCAAGGAAAGTTCAAGAAATGTTCGAGCATATATACCGGGGCTGCCAATTGCGACGCCGCAACGGACGCGAGCGAATCGGTCATAATGGTTAGCAACGGTCCGCGGTATCTGCGGTCCGCTGATCCTAGGTTTAAAAAAATAATTGTTACGATGATTGCATTCATAACACATGTTCTGCGCAGGCTGCTTCTACGGCGGCGGCAAATTATCATTTTTCAGCTATTAAAAATGAAGTGGAAATGAAATCTTCATCATTTCGAATATCAGTGACTATTCAATTTACTGTGTAAGATCGCGCTATGTAAGATTACCTGCTGCTGTGTAAGATCACTTGAGATTGCGCTAAAAATTAATAACATCAAAAAATTCATCTATAATATAATATTTTATAAAATCAATTTTTTGCAAAATTTCTTTATCGTCCAAATTGCAGATTTATATATAATTATAGCTCCACCAAGTACTTAAAAAAATAAATAAATAAAAATTTGTCCGTGGAACAACACAAATTACGTGATACTGCGCACAAAGTCACGCAATGGCACGACGAATACTGTAAGTCACTTTTACATTGGCGGCGCCGACGTGGCGACGTTTCGGATAAAGGCTCTTGACTTTGCAAACCTGTCGGCGGCAGTTACCAAAGAGGCATACCGAGACGAGCGTGGGAGGACGCGAAAGGAGATCGGCGGCCGAGAGAAGAGACTTCAAAACCACGGTCCGGCCCGACCTGGTCGGACTCGTATACGCGAGTGATTCGTTTGGCGAGCTGCACGACGAAAGATCGAGTGACAAGCGAGCGCGCCGACAATTTGCATACTCGTCCGTTACAATTACGCCTGCATCGCCGGCGCGAGAGTCATCGCTCGTTAACGATGCCCGCGGGAAGACGGATTAAAGCGGGATTGTGGCACATAACTTGAAAATTTACAGCACCGAGAGATGCGCAACAAAATATTCTCGATCCGACGTAGACGAGAAGCTGCATCGTTCGCCTTTAATTATCTGACGCAAAAGAGTAAAATAACAAATATGCAAAAACTGATAATAATTGTTAGAAATGTAAGAATCAGAAAAATGTAAAACAAAAGACATTAGATTCCATCGCTAATCTAATTTATATAAGTAAAAAACGCAAAAAGTTAATTGCGTAAAAAGTTAAATCAATTAACAAATAATTTTGGAAATAAATTTTTCAAATAAAATTAGCATTTTTTTGCAGAATTTAACTGATAATGTCCGTAGAAAGTTCAATATCATTGCAAAATAAATTGCCAATTAACGTGAAAACTTCTGTTAAACATGCGTTATAGCTATTTAGTACTTTATTTAACAGGATGTACTTCCGTCATAAAGTTCGTCGCAGCTTCGAGCTGTATAGCGCGCATTCTCACGTCGCGTCGTGCGGGCACGTGCACATCGGTACGGCATTACGAATACAGCGATTCTATTCACACGCACCGGAGAGTCGCGCCGTGGTATTTTTTCACATCAGCACAGACGAAGTGCAAGTACCGATTCGGTGCGCAAGTAGCATTCGGATTTTTCAATAACCGGCGTGACATGAAGTAGCCACTTTACAAGGTATGCCGCCTACGCCGCACTTCGACCACAATTTCAAGTTCGGTGCGCCGCGCGAGTTTAGTTGCCGGTAAATCACGCGCGCGCACACACGCGTCCGCATAAAAGCGCTCGTCGAGTGCGGGCAGCTGGCATGCTGGCTTGGCAGAAATCATTCGCGAGTTTTCATAAAGTGCATACCGCTCGACAGGCGGTCATTCCGGAAGCAAAATTCAACATCGTACCCACGATCTCTACTCTTGTAAACTCTTTGTCGATTATTTGCTGTCTACTAGATAGCATTATTCTATGTATGGACGCGAATAATTTATCTTCCCGTGAAAAATGTAAAGATTATTCATAGAAAGTACGCTTCTAAATCATTATTAAAAAAAAAAAGCAGAAAATTATTTAAATCGCTTTCTGCACGGTATTTCATACACGCAGCAAGTTGAGCAAATCATAGAAATCGTTGATAATTACTCACCAAATCCCATTCGTACTTCCTCCTCGTCGTCGCTGTCGATATGTTTGATTCCCGCCACTTCGAAGCTCTTCGCGAACTGCTCTTTTCGCGAGGTGGACGCAGAGGAGGCACAGTCGCAGTTGTCCTCGCCGGCACCACAGCTGCAATCGTCGCCGATGCATCTGCATCCCAACAACGGATCGTCCGTGTCTATGTTTCTGCACGCCGGACAGGGAAACGTCATATCATCAAGCGAGACTCTCTCGATCTTCCTCTCGACGGTGACGAGCAGATTGCCTATATACGCTGGCAGATCCTCATCACTGACGTCGTCCGGGCCGCTCACATTTCGTAATCTGTCCTCGAGATCCTTCGGCGAGTCGCCGGCGATGTTATCCTGCCGCAGTATGCTTTCCTCAAATTGCAGCGGGCTCTTCAGAACCTCCGGCGCGACCAGTCTACTGCGCGTTTCGCATCTGCTGCTCTCCTTCCATTTCTCCATCGTTGTAGTGGAGACGACTTTGGCGCATCGCTTCACTTTGGCGCGGCTCTCGTCGCCGCCGGTGGGACTAGAGGAGTTCTTGTAGTGCGAACGGCGACTCGTGCCATGGTTGAGCTCGCTATCGAGGTCCTCCTTCCAGGCATCGACGCTCGACGCGGACCTGGACTTCATCACTGTGGCGGTGCGACCGGACTCGCCAATCGCGCAATTCTCGCGGCAGGTCTGATGCTCCAACCTGTCGATCGATCTGGTTTCCTCTCGACGATGCTCAACGCTGCTGGTTCTGCTGGTCTCGCGCGTTCTCGGGCGGGCGTCCTCGCGCGATCTTCGCCGCGGGCGGACGGCGGTCTTCATCGCGCTTGAGGATTGCGTCGCGCCGAGACTCGTGCCCACCGCGCTCGATGAACTCGGCTGACCCTTGTTTGTCAGGTCTCGCCAATCCATGAACTCGTCCTCACGGTCCCAACCTAAGATCCCCGGCGCCCTCATCGACGTAGTTCGCCAGACTACTGCTATCTGCGAACAATAGATTTCTTTACTCGCTTACTAACTTCTGCCGACATAGAGCATGTGAAATTAGCACCCTGACATAAAAATTTCATAATTATGATTAGAGCTTTAGTGTTCTAGCTTTTAAAGAGTTCTAGAGTTCTATTCTCTTTCCCTTTTACTTATAAAAAAAGTTCCGATTAACATTTCTAATTGAAAAATGAGATACTTTGTACCTACCAGTGACCATACGTCCTTTATTTTAAAGAACAGGCCTTTATTTCAAGTAGCTATCCTTTAGATTTATTCATTTTTTCAAAATTCAATTTTGTCTATTATATTAAAATTTTGTCTTTTATATTTATAAAATTACAATATTAATTTTTTTTTTACTTAGCGTTTCAATGTCTCACATCGTACTAACGTGAGAACACGTACATAATTTGAATTTTAATTAATTCGAATTCATTACAACACTTAAAAGTATATCTACTGTAATATATAATTTGTTTTCTTTTTGTGTTAATTATATTTAAAAATTTTTTTCATTAAAATTATTCATATTAAATCCGTTTTTATTTTTTGTTATCCGGAACCTATTTAAGAAACCAAGGATTTGTTTCAACATAGTCGAATCAGTTTCAAACTATAAGAATACATAGACTTCTGATAGTCACAAATAAAGTTACTGGTTGTTTTTTGCTCGCCGATCTTCAGGCGCGTTTAAATTTTGAATGTGGAGATGATAACTTTGATCGCATGTTGAAACAAAGCCTAAAATTTTCAGGTTTGTCCTTTATTTTCTCTCAGAAAATATGGTCACCGTACTATACCCGATTTCAAGATCGAATAGTTTTGAATGGCTTATACATACTTTTTTTTGAAGTATTCTATTCTAGAGTTCCTGATTACTAAAAAATATTTTTAATATTGATGTTACATCCTGGCTAAAAAAAAAAACAGACCATAATTCATGTGAGCTGTGACTACATGAATTATGGTCCGTTTTGAAAAATTTATAAAATAATAAACTAAATAATAAAATAATAAATACTAAATAATAATAACAATAATAATAAATTAAAATAATTATAATAAAATAATAAATAAATTCGAATCGTGAAATATCTTCAAAATTGACAAAGTTACATTATTTGTTAATTGCAAATATATTATAACTTTTAAACTATTCAACTATACAGGAAAATCACTACAAACAACCACAAACAATTCTGTATCACGTGAAAAAAACAGATTCGAAAAATCTTAAAGTCGGGTAACAGTAATTTTTTAAACATTTTTGGTTACTAATGGCTTGAACTAAAAACATCAAATGTTTTTACTACAAACAAAGTACTATTATTTTATTTTATTTTTATTTATTAAAAATCGGTTGCTCAATTCACATAAGTAACTTTGATATATATAATTTTATATTTAATTTTGTTGTGTAGAATGTAAATTCAAGTGATTTTTCTAAAAATTCAGATGTAGGTAGAACATTTACATCACAAATAATACATTTGTGAATATAATTTGTTTGAATACTTGAAAAACATCCATGGCCACTTTAATAGTTTTCTTCTTCGTATTTCCAAATTTTTATATGCTGTCTTGCAATATGTGTTTTGAAATTTTGTAATTGCTGCATAATTATATCTCTTATCGCAAAACTTGCTTCAAAATCCGGTAATTTTATATAATATTGCCATATATGCTTTCTAGCTACAATTCTTGCTGACATTGTGTCCATCTGAAATAACTACCCTGGTAATTACAATTATTTTATGTTGTTAGAAAATTCGAATCTTTCCAGCAAAAAATTTCCATCAAGATTTTAATCTTACTAAAGTTGTCTTTCAGATCTAACAGCGAATTCGGTTGTATGCACTAGTATACATTAAAGACTGTCGTATATAAATTTACAATAGCATAAATAACTAAAACAATAAAATGGTTATATTGGTTATATAAAATGGTAATATATAACTAAATTTCTTATCTGTTAATCAGATGTCTGCTGAATCAAAGTGAATTCACATATGTAATTCCAGGCGAATCCTTCCGAATGATTGTATGACGAATATGAGAGAAGTTCTTACATACGTTGGTGTTATAAAAAACTAAAACAATAAAATAACTAATACTACAAGTTATTATTATTATTTAGTTAACAATAATAATAATAATTCATAGCATTAATTATCTTATTGTTTTAGTTACTTAAGCTATTGTACATTTATATACGACAGTCTTTAATGTGCACTAGTACATCCAATCGAATTCGCTATAATCTAATAAATATGTGATAATTATTTTTAAAATATGTGTTTTGATAGTTTAAAATAATATTTAAGAATAAAATTTAGCATTGTTCATATACAACACATACACACACGCGCGCGCGCACACGCATATTATGTTGTACATAAATTTCGGTAAAAGTATAGATGTTTATATAAAATTATATATATAAAATTTTAAATTAAAATTTTAATTATAATTTTGACAATTCCCAATACCTGATTGCACATAAAAAAAGGTGTCGTTATAGGCCTAATAGAGCTCTCCTATTCCATTCACGGTTCCAACAAAAAAATCTAACAAAAATAGTCGAGATTTTACTAAAAAATGTTGTTTACTTGTCTTACGTGTCCTCATTCTATTTAAAATAAATAGGGAAACTTATTTTTTTACTTATCCTCGTATTTAAAAATGATAATACCATAAGATGTGTTAAAAAACAGAAGCAAGCTAAAAAAATTACATCTTATCTTAACACAAAGCCGTAGCAAAGTTTGCTGTGTGTGTGTGTGTGTGTGCATTAAGTTTCTTCTTATTAAATATCTATGAGAGCGATAAATTCAGCCTGTAGCTTAAAGTCGTGACAAATCGGCTTACTAGACATACTTCTCGGAATATGAGAAAACGTTATGAGCGTGACAATGTCGCGTCGGCGTTTTCAAAGATACGTCTTTTATTAGACCGAAAGGGGCTTAAAAGGCACGTCTAATAACGCCCGTCCCATTACATGGCCACACATCCGCATGCACGATGACTGTTAATATTTATACCGCGGATTCGTCATACAATCATTCGGAAGGATTCGCCTGGAATTCCGACCGAGTCTTCGATGACCGTTAAGACGAAGTGTCATTCTCTCGCGGCGAGACCCGAAGGATCATCACTTGACGCGGTTTTCTCGCGACGGTAAGGCGAGAGAGAAAGAGAGAAAGGGAAGTACGAAAAAAGACGTGACTCACCTCAACGGTATTTTGCTCAGCGGCTTCACCGGCGGTCGTGGCGCCGCTGACCGACGAGGTGGTGGTTGCAGTTGTAGTTGCAGCAGCCGTGCTGCGTACGCAGAGGTAACATTCCCCGAGACGTAGCGCGGACGCCTCGAGCTCGCCCAGCTGCAGTATCAGACCGCTACCACCTAACGTCAAAGGCCAACCCTCCGGCACAACCGCCTCGTTTCCCTGCAATCAGACAAATGAATCACGTTAGTATCTCGCGCCTGTTCATCTCGCGAATCTTTTCGCACTTAAACATCGTAATTTCCAATAATAATCAAGATAAAGCCGGTAAATTGTTAGTATTTGTATTTAATAATAATGTTTAAACATATTGTTCATTTTGTCCGGATTTTGGTGGCGGACCCTGATATATATAGTTCAGTAAGTAAGTGGCTGCTCACGATAAATATTTATATAGATATTTAATACTTTCATAAAGAAAAATATTTTGTTTCAGGTATCAACAATAAACAAACTAAAATTTTGGAGAATTCATGTTTGTGGTAAAACAATGATAATTATCGACTACTTAGCATGGCTCGTGTCATGATTATACTGAATGCTTTTGGGAATTTAATAAAAGTAAATCATTATATTAATATCTAAATGATTATATATTTCTAAAAAATTAAAAATAGTAAGCGTAAGAAAACTCTTTCTTAGTGTAAAATACATGCTTTGCGAAACATATTAATTATAAACTTTACTATTAAAATAAAATGTTAATTTTTTGTAAAAAAAAAAGGTTTACTTTGTCCCATTTTCCCTTACTACAAAGTTCTTTTTTAAATAGATTTTTAAATAAATTTCTATGTATATTTCTATATATATTTTGTATTATATAAACATTTATGTTCTTGTTATAAATCCTTTATTTTGTTACATCTTTCCTCTTAATAAGGTGTATTTCCACCACCCGCGGCGACATGTGGTCCCGTAAGACTAAGGCCCTAACAAAAATTTTGGCAGAACAACAAAAAGGGAAATTCCGTATAGTTAAACCCATACGTGAGGAAGCAGCTTTCGTTAAATTACAAATACAGACTCCGAGAAATAACTATATGCAAGATATATTGGGCATATTATGCCAGCTCGGGCATGCCCAAAAATGAAAAACAGTAGCGACAATCGTGTCACCTTCAATCAACCAATAATAAAAAAAAACATAATAAAAAAAATTTTTTCGACGCAGGGGAAAGCTCATACGGAATCCGCCCTGAAACACGCATTAGGTATAACGGCGCACTTAATAAAGTTAGTCCAACACTTACAAACCTATTCCTACACTACATATTTTGCGTAGAAAAAAATAGCCTTTCTTGGATAATAAAAATAAAAACAATAAAATAGAGCGCGAAATTAAAGGGATTGACTGGAAATATATTGCGAGTTAAGCTAATTAGAATTTCACTAAACAAACTGTATATGAAAGTGGAAAAAATTACGGCACAAGGGAACGTACGGTAATCACGTTAATTATGGAATAATCAACGCTGTGTGGTTACGCCCCAAAATTGAGGGGACGTGCAGTCAGCCAGCGACTGTTCTTTCTGCCTTTCCCCGCTGAAGAGTACGCGCTAATGGGTAGGAATGCGAGTAGAATTTAATCGGAGCCAAAGCATTATGCGCTCGACGGGTGAGGGTGCGGAGTATTTCCGCGCGGAATGTGTTAATGTCGGAGATTGCATCTTGAGGAATTTTTGTGTGTTACAACCAGTGACGAAGATACTTTTAAGATACTTTTAAAATGTATCTCGACACAGATACAGACACATGTAAAAAAATGTATCTAGATACAAATACAGATACACAAACTGAAATGTATGTAGATACAGGTATTCAGATACTTTAAAAGTATCTCAGATACATATTAGATACTTTTAAATTATATTTTATTGTAACAACGGTAATATGCAAAAATATACCAAATATATAAATAAATAATTGTAAATATCAATTTCTAGTACCGCCACAGTTCCATATACAATAAAATGTTTGGAGACTATGAGAATAAATTCCAAAATGACGAAGTTTATTATACCGACCGGAGCAGCGATAAATATGGACGGAATAGCACTGTATGAAACAATTGGAGCGATATTTATTATACAATTACGTGGGTTGAAATTTTCACTATTTAAAATAATAGTCGTCAAGTTTGTTAAAACACGAACGCAACTGAATACACCTGTTAGAGACAGAAATTAAAAACAATTAACTTTTAATGTTGCAGTGTTGCGTGCACAGTATCATGCGTGAGAGCTACTGGCATACCCAGCGGCGGTTATATGATGTTGATAATGGTATTAAATTCTATCGGAGTGCCTGTTGAAGATATTACATTAATTATCGCTGTTGATTGGTTTGTGTAAGTTATATGCTATAAAAGTATCATTAGGCTCTCTTTCTTACGCGTCGCAAGCTTTACAAATTTTGCCAAGCAATATAAAAAGAGTGTATTATTTTTTTAGCGACCGTTTCAGAACAACAATCAACGTTATAGGTGACGCGCTTGGCGCAAGTATTATATCTCACTTTTGTAAAAAGAAAAAGCTGGAAGAAGATGAGATGCATTAGAAGGAACTGTTCGCAATGTGTTCTAAAGACATATAACAGATATAATAAAATTTAAAATAAATTTTACAATGCAGAATAATAGAATGAACGAAATATCACGGCATTGAGGTGAATTATAATATCAACATATAAATATAAATGAAAGATAAAAAGAACATAAAAACATACGAACAATCTTTTATCTTGAGTTAGGATAAGAAATCCTGAAAAGGGGAGAGGCAAAGCCCGTTGGCAGCGCCAAGTTTTTTTTGTATTTTTTAATAAATATATTGTTATTTTAATTAAATTTTTTTTAATCAAATTTTGATCAGTTTTATTTATACATTTTATGTATGTTTATTTTGAATTTGCACCTTGAATAATGTATCAGTTACTTTTCATGTTGGTAATATATAAAAAATTTGGTAATTATATACTATCACTGCCTCCGATTTTGATCCAATTAGGCTCTTTCGACGCGTTTTTAAAAAAAAAAACTTTTTCCTCTCACAAAATTATCGCTCTCCTTTGGAACTTGGCCTTATCATTTATGAATTTTTGTGCTATCTCTTTATCTTCGAAGAAGAAGAGACTGTCGAAGGTGCAAGACTCTCTCGATTGCACCTTGAAAGAACGCCCACATACGTCGATCCGCAAATACGTAACTCGTCATGTAGGCAATTAGACGGCGGGATAACGCAAATAAAGGGCGGCGAATGAATACACACAGTCTCGTGTTTGCGATTAAACGCGCACGGCAAATGGAACCCTCGCTCAACCGTTTTATTATCGGGGCGCATTCCGCGGGGAAATAAAACTTCACCGAAGTAGCCAACTATTTGAGAGATCAATAACAAATTCGATTCATCAATGTTAATTAACGTGTAGAACTATGAAGCTTAAATAATGATTGAACTAACCAATAGTAATTTAATCCGCAATTATGTCGGATAGAAGACATCACGTCTATTAAGCTGACACAGCCACTTTAGCACAATCGAATAAAACTTATACAGAAATTTAGTGCTCTTTTGTTGCTAATTTGTTGCTCAATTCCCGATTTAGAGACAACTTTAGTAAGATTAAAATCTTTATGGAAATTTTTTGCTGGAAAGATTTAAATTTTCTAACAACGTAATATAATTTTTACCAATTTTGAAAAGCGTTGTTGTCTTGAAACCGGGACAATCTTTTCGATAGCACTTCCTTTTTCCTGTTAATATAATATTATTATTTATAATGTTATAAAAATCATTTTGTTGTATTAAATTGTAATCAATTTGTGCAACGGGTAATTTCTTCGTTCGTACTGGACATTCCATACTGCAAGTTGATATTTCTTCAAAACTCGGAGTGTTTTTAAAAAGTGTATTGGCTAAATAACCAACATTAGTTTGGCAATCAATTTGTATGGAATTTTCATATGTCTCTTCCATGTTTTGAGAAATAAAAATGGGTTTGAGTATTTGTGCTCGTAGCTTATAGGTATGTGCCCTGATGCCTTTGTCCAAAATGTCGATTGCCATTTCGTATATTTTATTACTATATTATGTGCGATATGTATCTTAAAATAAAGTTACGTTATTAAAATAAAGACTAAATTAATAATTATGTATACACTTACATCTGATTTGTTATGCATCAATTATAATTTTGATTTTAGTTATATATGTGTGTGTGTTTGTTTTCTATTACCGTTTTAAGTATATATACAGAATGGACCATTTAAATTTATCCAGTCGATTTTCTGAAAAGCTAAAAGAGATATGAACAAATGTTTTAGATAAAAATGGAACAGTTTCGAGGGGGACATAAGATGGTGCCATTAGTTTGAATTTCAATAGTCAGTATCATTGGAAGTCACGTGTACAAATCATCAACATTGCATGTAGCAAAAAATGAATACGTAAAATCACAATTTTTTAACGCCGATCCTATAAAAGCTTTGTATATTATAAAATATAGCGCTTATGCTAATTGTATTCATAATATTGGGATAAATCCGTTTTTTATCCATTAATGGACTAATCACCAGCTACAAGTGTATCGAAAATATTGTTCAAAAAATATAAGTACAATATACATATATCGCGATATATGTATTTAGGATTACCCTAAGAACCTCTTGTGCTACTTGGACCCTTCTATCCATAATTATATTTTTTATTTATTATTATTTATTTATTTATTATTATTTATTATTATTTCTTTATTTATTTACGTGTTTTAGAAGAAGAATATTTTGTAAATGCAAAATGTTTTTGAAAAAAGGCAGAATTTCTTGAGTTAAATTTTTATCAGACGAGAAGTTTGGAGATATCCCTCTCTAAAAATTTTGATATAAATATTTTTCTTTTATGAACACGAAAATAAACTAATAAACTATAGTTAGTGGCTGTTAGTATATAATATAGTAAGTAGACTCTCAATCTTTCAACAAAAAAAAACCTATAGTTTACAGTCAGTTAAATAAGAGCGTGCCAAACCTTATTCACAATCTGCAAAAGATATCATTCTAAATCTTATGTGAATTGATAGAGCGAACCTTTGTCCTTGGCGCATTTAAAAAAAAGATTTAGTTGTTGTTGATCTTTTGTAAGAAAAACACGCTAAGCCGATTGTGCTAA